TGAAGGGCATCCCACCCAGACCCATTCCCCTACCCCTGCATTTCCCCATGTCTAACCCAAATATCTCTGGACACAACAGGCAATTTAACATGGCCAATCCACCTAGCCTGCACATCTTTGGACTGTGGGAGGAAACCCACGCAGACACAGAGAGGATGTGCAAACTCCACACAGATAGTCACCCAAGGGTGGAATTGAACCCAGGTCCCTGGCACTGTGAGGCAGCGGTGCTAACCACTGAGCCACCGTGCCACCCCTATTCATGTACTTATCCAAATGCCTTTTAAATGTTGCAATTGTACACAAGTCCATCACTTCCTCTGGAAGTTCATTCCAAACACGAACCACCCTCTGTGTAAAACCTTTGCCCCTCATGTCATTCTTAAAATCTCTCTTCCCACCTTAAAAATCTTGAAATCTTAAAAGTCTTGAAATCCTCCATCCTAGGGAAAAGACACCTTCCATTAACCCTATCGGTACCCCTTATGATTTTATAAATGTCTATAAGGTCACCTTTCAACCTCCTACACTTCAGTGAAAAATGTCCCAGCCTCCAACTCAAACCTTCTATACTCTTCTGACCTCTCTCCAGCTTAATAATACCCTTTGTATAACTGAGCAACCAGGAATGGTCAGAGCAGCCTCCATGTGTCTGATTTTGTGCGTTTCGATGTCCCAATGTTAGTCATGTCCCAGTAGGGAGAAAAACAGTGAGTTGTTGGGATCTGGAAGGGTGGCAGAAGCAGGTTGAAGGATAATTTTCAAATATTTTAATTGGAAATGGTTGGGCGGGTAAGGGGAAAGTTTACGGGAGGGTACTAACTGATATGTCTTCTGAAGGTGCAAATAGCCTCTCGCTGTGGCGTAAAACTGACTAATTGCTTTGAGGAGTGAAACTTTACAGTTATCTTTCTTTCAAAGGGTAGTAGACATCTGGAACGCTTTGAGCCAACTACCTGTCATACTAGCTGCAATTACATTTTCCAGGCGAGACATTTATTAGTTACATACATTGATAAGGATCAAAGGCAGGGAAATGGAATTGTGCTACATAGCAGCCCTAATTTCACTAAATGGGCTACTCTTGCTCCATACACCCGCAAACTCTACTGGCAGCGAACACATTCACATTTAAAATTAGCCCTGGACCTGACACCAAGCATTGCCAGAAATATAATGCAAGAGAGGTTGTTGCCAACTGCAAATGGTTACTGTGGCTATCGCTTTGAGATAAGCAGCTACAGAATAAGTGCCTCCTCACACTTTAACAAGGAACTGTCAGCATTATTGGCAATTGGGAGGTGGGAGAAGACTTGCTTAACCACTCATCAATCACTCCTGCTGTCTCAGAGTTAATTCCCTCCATTTTCTCCTTTCCAACTCAACCAGGCTGCCAAGGCTGAGGGCATGGCAGATAAGGGAAAATCTGTGCTTAAAACGATTTAATGTATGTAAGTGAAGTATTGGGAATGCGCTGTCCCTTTGTAACATCACAATAATGAGCAATGTGGCCCTCTCATTTAATCTTCAGAGAACCTAAAATCTAAAGAACTTAAATCTCAGTTGGAGAGATGCTTGGAATTCCTGATTTTTTTTTTGCTTGTCCCCAAGGAATGGCCACCACTTACTTCTCCCCTTCAAATCAGTGATTTGCTGGGATATCTCAAAAGGCAGTTAGGCTTTGAGGAGGATGGAGGGATGCTTCAGTGTGATTTGGACAAGCTAAGTGAGTGAGCAGATGTGTGGTAGACTTTTTTCCCCTTTATTCATTAACGGGATGAGGGCATCGCTGGCCAGGGCAGCATTTGTTGCCCATCCCTAATTGCCCAGAGGGCAGCTGAGAGTCAACCACATTGCTGTGGGTCTGGAGTCATATGTAGGCCAGAGCCAGGTAAGGATGACAGCTTCCTTCCCTAAAGGGCATTAGTGAACCAGATGGGTTTTCCCTGACAATAGATTCACAGTCATCATTATATCCATAATTCCAGACATTTTTATTGAATTCAAATTCCACCATCTGCCATTGCGGGATTCGAGCCCCAGATCGTTATTGGGGTCGGTGGATTAACAGGCTAGTGATAATACCACTAGGCCATCACCTCCCTGATGAGCTATGATGTGGATGAATATGAGTTTAGTAGCAAAAGCAAGGCATTTTATTTGAATGGTGATAGATTGGGAAGGGGGGAGGTGGGTACAAAGAGTCCTGGGTAAGCAGAAATTGCTGGAAAAGTTCAGCAAGTCTGGCAGCATCTTTGGAGAGAAATCAGAGTTAACGTTTCGGGTCCAGTGATCCTTCCTCAGAACAGGGTTGGAGCGTTTGGGCTATAGGGACAGGCTGAATAGTCTGGGGCTATTTTCCCTGGAGCGTTGGAAGTTGGTGGGTGACCTTATAGAGGTTTATAAAATCATGAGGGGTGTGGTTAGGGTAAACAACCAAGGTCTTTTCCTCAGGGTAGGGGAGTCCAAAAAGCGAGAGGGGGAAAGATTTAAAAGGGACCTAAGGGGCAACTTTTTCACGCAGAGGGTTGTGCGTGTATGGAATGAGCTGCCAGAGGAAGTGGTGGAGGCTGGTACAATTACAACATTTAAAAGGCACCTGGATGGGTATATGAATAGGAAGGGTTTAGAGGGATAGGGGCCAATGCAGGCAAATGGGACTAGATTAATTTAGGATATCTGATTGGCATGGACAGGTTGGACCGAAGGGTCTGTTTCCATGCTGTACAGCTCTATGACTCTATGTCCTTGAGGGATGTTCTGGCTATGGAGGGGGTGCCATATAGATTTCCCTGGGATGGCAGGACTGACAGCTCTGGGCAGGACGAGATTCAAATGAGTTTTGAAGAGTCTTAGTCATAGAGTCATACAGCACATAAGCAGATGCTCCAGACCAACTAATCCATCCCGGCCAAATTAAACTAGTTCCATTTGCCTGATTTGGCCTATATCCCTCTAAACCTTTTATATTCAATGAGGGGAAACTCTTGTCAAATTCTAACAGGATTAGGCTTGTTACTTTCGAATCCCTGTGGTATAGGAGCAAGCCATTTGGCCCATCGTGTGTACACCGATCCTCCGAAGAGCATCCCATCCAGACTCACCCCACCCCTATAGCTCTACATCTCCCATGGCTAATCCACCTAGCCTGCACATCCCTGGACGCTATGGGCAATTTAGCATGGCCAATCCATCCAATCTATACATCTTTGATCCGTGGGAGGAAACCAGAGCACCCAGAGGAACCCCGCACAGACACAGGGAGAACGTGCACATTTTGCACAGTCACCCAAGGCTGAAATTGAATGTGGCTCCCCAGTGCTGTGAGGCAGCTGTGCTAACCACTGAGCCACCATGTTAAATGGGGGAGTTGAGAACTGGGGCTCACAATCTAAGGATGCAGAGTAGGCCACTGACGACTGAGATGAGGAGGAATTTCTTCACCCAGAGAGTGGGGAGCCTGTGGAATTCTCTGCCATAGAACATGGCCAAGGACAAAGCACCTAATGTTTCCAAGAAGGAGTTAGATATAATTCCTAGGGCTAAAGGCATGGAGGGAAGGCAGGGGGCTGAGTTGGATGATCTGCCATGATCAGATTGAATGGTAGAGCAGGCTCAAAGGGACGAATAGCCTAAAAACAAAAATTAACCTTCCCAGTCTTCATAACATAATTTTTTGATAGAATGACGATGTGATTATGAAAGTCTGGTTTGTATCAACTACAGTTCAATTGATTTCCTCAGCCTGCTAACTGCACATGGAAATAATGCTTTGTCCATGGTACTGTTATCACTGGTAGCATAGCAATCATGCTCTATGGTGTATGTGACAGGGGCACTCTAGCTTAATGCCCATGGCAGTACTCACATATTGCTCTCACGCATTGTCTCTCTTTCTCCAGAGATGCTCGTTTGTCATTGGTTGCTGATTAACCTTTGTAGAACAAAGCTTTTCATCTCTTCACACTCTCTTGGCTTTGGACCATGTGGCATGGTGCTCCGTGGTAGATTTCCAACTTGGCAAGGATTTCCAGCAGCCCAGTGAATAAGCAAAGACCTGCGATTCAAAGACCTGGACTCAGGAATGTTGACCATGCGACGGCCATTGTCCTATTTCCTCATAAATTGTGGTCAAAATCCATCAGGTTCACAAATTCCCTTCAGGGAAAGAAATCCGCTGTCCTCGCATGGTCTGGCCTACATGTGACTCCAGACCCGCAGCCATGGGGTCAAACCCCAACTTACTTCTGAAATAAAGGAGCAAGAAAATCAGTTCAGGAGCAACTTAGGGGATGGACAATATGCTGGTTGTGCCAGTGACACATTCTATAAAGGAATGTTTTAAAAATAGCAACCTGGGCATTAGAGATTCAATTAGCAATGTCGCCTGACAGAGGTTTATAAAATCATGAGGGGCATGGATAGGGTAAATAGGCAAGGTCTTTTCCCTGAGGTGGAGGAGTTCAAAACTAGAGGGGCATAGATTTAAAGATGAGAGGGGAAAGATTTAAAAGGGACCTAAGGGGCAACTTTTTCACACAGAGGGTGGTGCGTGTATGGAATGAGCTGCCAGAGGAAGTGGTGGAGGCTGGTACAATTACGACATTTAAAAGGCATCTTGCTGGGTACATGAATAGGACGAGTTTAGAGGGATATGGGCCAAATGCTAGCAAATGGGACTCGATTTATTTAGGATATCTGGTCAGCATGGACAAGTTGGACTGAAGGTCTGTTTCCACGCTGTACAGCTCTATGAACAGGGGCTGCAAGACACGAGTCCCTTATGTGGACAGCCACTTGAGAGGCTCCAGCTTGTGAAGCTGGCAATTTCTGGTCTTTAATTAAAAAAAGAATAAGGTTATTCATTCCATATGGGGGTGGAAATTGTGATTTACAGACATGTCAGCTGGCCTGTGAAAGAAAGGGTTGATGTAAAGCTGTGAGGGAGAGTTTGATCCGGATCACTGGTGTTTGTGGCTTTCAGAAAGAACAGAGAGAGAGGGCTGGGGGAGGCTGGAAGAACCAGGGATGTGAGCAGCAACAACTGCCCATACATTTCACAACCTCCTCCTTATCTCCCAACAGAAAAAAAAGGCAAGAAGTTATTCGGAAATGTCGAGTCACCTCCCTGTGCCCCTCACGCCTACAATGAGTGATTTGAAGCTTTGAAAAAGGGGTGTGAGGGAGGGGAAAAGGAAGAAGAAAATGAGATCTGCTGGGCAGCAGAAAGGACTTTGGAGAAAAGAGAAAACACAAACCAAACTCTCCAGAAATCTCTCAACCGTCCATCACCAGCGGTCGGGTGCGGGATTCAGAGGGAGCTATTGAAAGCACTGGATGGGGAAATAAGGAGAGAACCACATCTCCCAGAGGGAGTCCCTGGTTGAAGAGTGAGAGATTCAAGGACAGACTGAAGATGGAATAAGGCCAACTCACAGAGGCAGAAGAGGACTGCGCGTTCTCACAGACCATCCCCCCAACCCCCGTCCTCCTCAGCCCCTCTCAGGCGCTGGCGGATTCACATCGGGAGGGAAGCCTAACTTCACAGGGTGACCAGGAGGAGGCGCTCTGTGAAAGGACAAGCGAATGTGAATGCTGCGCTAAAGGGTGAGGGAACCCAGACAGAGTCGGTCACCAGCGTGAACTCTGGCTTAGCAAAACAAACACTAGCTCATATTAGTTAAACATTCCGACTTTGTTTTGTTTATTAGAAGACACAAAGTCTGGATACCAACTGACTGCGAGGGGGGAGAAAGACTTTGAGCGGAGTTAATACACACCCCAGCCTCACAGACTTGACTTTGAGTGAAAGAAATATTCAAGATTCTGAGGAAGGGTCACGGGAGCTGAAGCGTTAACTCTGATTTCTCTCTCTCTCTCTCTCTCCATAGATGCTGCTGAGCTTTTCCAGCAATTTCTGTCTTTTTTTGTTTCTGATTTCCAGCGGTTCTTTCGAACATCGAAGATTTGTCCATCTGTGTGTGTGTGTTTAATCCTAAAGCAAGGGATTGTGTTGTTGATAAGGGGAGCATTTTAATTTGCTTTTTGTTTCTCTCTCTTGAGGGGCTGGTGGTTTCTTTTGCAAACCCCGGAGTGACTGAGAGCTGGGGGAAAGGGTGGGGGTGGTGAGCGGCGTATAAGATGGGGCAGGTCACCCTGGAGATTGTGGCGCTGTTTCTCTCCGTAAACGGCTTGCTGTGTGTCATCCTGACCAGCTCCCTGCCCCTTTGGAAGGTGCCCGCTTTCCAAGGTGCAAACCTGGTGACAGCCCAGCAGACCTGGGAAGGGCTGTGGATGGATTGTGTCTGGCAGGATACCGGGGAGATGGTCTGCAGCACCTTCGATTCCATGCTGATCCTGGGTCAGGAGTTACAGGTAGCCAGGGCTCTGAGCACCACGGCCGGGGTGCTAGGGGCACTGGGCATCCTGACCAGCATCGCCGGCGCCAGCTGGACCCGGTTGGTCCAGGGGGAGCCCTGCAAAGCCCGGCTCCTGTCTGCCGCCGCCTGCTCCCTCCTGCTCACCGGTATCCTGCAGCTGATACCGGTCGCTTGGACGGCCAGCGGGATCGTCAGAGACTTCCACAGCCAGTCCGTCCCGGAAGGGGTCAAGAGGGAGCTGGGGCCATCTCTGTACATTGGCATGGGAGCCGCCGCCCTGCTCACTGCCGCGAGTGGGTTGCTCTGGTTCTCCTGTTACAGACTCAGGGTCCAGGCAGACCCTCCGACAGTCTACAGTCCCGGCCAAGCAAACTACAGCCAGAGCCACTATGTGTAAGGGAGCGGAGGTGCACCATCCCTCCCCAGCAGGAGGGACAAAAAAACACGAAGGAGCCTCCTTTCCAACACAACACTGTGGGCTCACCTCTCAGTCACCTATACCTGTGTTTTACAATCTTAGAAACTGGTATGGCATTCCGAATATCCAATTCATGCAGCTTGGAAACTAGAGACAGCTCAAATAACTTGCATACAAATAAATAACACTATTTTAATTGCAATGACTCTGACTGTGTTTGTACTGATGCTGATTCTGACTGTGATTGTACTGATGCTGATTCTGACTGTGATTGTACTGATGCTGATTCTGACTGTGATGATT